GAGTGCTCCCCAGAAAACACCAGAGAGCGCACAGAGTACACCGCCTGCGCCAGCAAAGCAGCTCTTTGCGACGTCCCCTGAGGGGACCAAGAGTCCAGAAGACTATGTTGCAAACTTGCAAGCTGCCTTGAAGAGCCGTGAGAAAAGCAAGGCACAGCAGAAGAAAGACAACAGGCAAGATGATGAAGAGGAAGAACCTGTGATGAAAAAGCCTGCGGCAAAAGCGAAGAGCATTGCCAAGAAGACGGAAGAAGAAAAAGAAAGCAAAGAAGTGGACAGTGCTTCTGTGAAAAAGACTGCAGCCAAAGCCAAGGCCGCTGCGAAGAGCGCCCCAAAGGCGTCAGCAGGCAAGGCCAAACCGAAGGCGGCTGTCAAGAGCGCGGCCGCAGAGCCACCGAGGGAAGGCGCCTCCGAGCTGCCAAACCCACCAGTGCCGTGGAACGGCACATTCTTCTGGCTCGAGGGCAAAGTGCATCGCAACCCAGCGGCCACTTGTTGGCGAGTGTTCATCAACAAATCAGACAGGAACGACAAGAAAGTCAAGTTCGGAGATGATGAGGTCGCATCATTTCACAAGGCACTCCGGTTGATCGAAGATGGGATTGCCCTTCGGAAACGCGCTGAGGTGGCAGAGAATGTGGATTAGAGATTCTTCGCGTTGGTCAAAAAGACTTTGCCGTTTTCCACATGCTGGAGGATGTGTATACAAAAATATCGTTTGCTATAGCACGACTTTTTCTGTCTAGTTTTGTCATCATCCAAGGGAGATGAAGTCATGTGACAGCGTTCGTTTCCTGTTGATGCCATCAGCATGCAAGAAGAAATCATGCGATGGAGTGTGTTTCCTGCTGATGCCATAAGCGTCCGTCGCTTTTTTCAGCAATCTCTGTGTGTGAACACTGTGTTAACATGCTTTCACATGTTTTGGATCGAACGTATAAGACACATGCATCTTGCTCTATACTACACCGCATGGCAATTACCACATGGAATCATTATCGAAAGGGTTTTTTTCCCATCCTGCTCCATAGAAAGGTCTATATATTGTATGTATGTGGCAATGCATAATGTAACGAAATCGAAAGGCATGTTCTTGCCATCGTGGCTGTCTATTGTGTGGCAATTATCACATGGAATGAGCATCGAAATACATGCCCTTATTATTTTTCAAAACAACAAATCATATCCTGCATGGTGGCTTTAAACAGGCTGTGACTTGTGGCACGCCTGCACGAGCCATCATTGCATGCAATGGCGATCGAAGTTGGACGACTTGGTAGACGCCACGTAATCTCACGCAGTGGCTTGGAAGCCGTGCTGAAGGACCTCAAAGACAGAGAGTTTCCATCGGCAATCTCCAGGCAGACGGTGAAGAGGCAAAGGGATACCACTGTGGAGGTGCAGACGCCGCTGGGATGCTTGCTGTCTTCCTATTCCGTGACCCTGCCAGAGCAAAAGAAGACAGGAAAGAAGCCGGCCATGAAGGCTAAGAGCGTTGAGCTTCCGTTTCTGGCGCCTCTCCCCTTGCTGTACCACCTCTGTGCGCAAGAGTCGGAGTTTGCGCGGATGATGCGGCACGTTCTCGATCGCAACAAGCCGTCCAGGCAGAGACCACTGAGTATATTGGCTTATGCCGATGAGATCAGCCCTGGAAACGTATTGGCTCACAGGCTTGAGAGAAAGGTGCAAGTCATATACTGGAGCATCAAGGAGTTTGGACCAGTAGCACTTTCCTCTGAGAGGTGTTGGTTCTTGGCAGGCATCGCACGGTCAGAGCATGTCAAGAGGCTGCCAGGTAAAATGTCTGAGTACTTCAGGCGATGCCTCGAGCAGTTCATCTTGCCGATTGATGTGCGGGAAGGGATTCAAGTGCGGTTCGCTGATGGGCACTGCTCCATGCTCTTCGCTGCTGTTGAGGTCATTGTGGCCGATGCGGTGGCACTGAAGGAGATGATAGACATGAAAGGGGCAGCTGGAACGATATGTTGTCCCTTATGTCGCAATCTGGTGGACCACAAGTCGGAGCTCCATCATCACCAGGATGCATTCGTTCCGAGCACGACCATAGATCTTTCCCTGGTGGACGCCCAGACTGATGCCACCGTTAAGAAGATCTTGGATTACCTTGAAGAACAGGCCCACGGCCCAGTGTCCAAGGCAAAGTTTAGCAAGATGACCCAGGCTCTTGGCTTCAACCACAACCCACATGGACTCTTGCGATCGGCGGAACTGGACATCAAAGCCGTGAGCGTCCTGATGTTTGACTGGATGCATTGCTTTTGTGTGGCTGGACTTTGGAATGTGGAGGCTGGCCTCCTCGTGGCAAAGCTCCAGGAAATCGGCATCACGCAAGCTGATCTACATGAGGAACTGCAAAAATTTATCTGGCCGCAAGCTATCAGAAGCCGCGGTGTCACAGGACAAAAAATCTTTGCAAAGGGAGATCAGAATGAAGACATCAAGTGCTCGGCGAGTGAGTGCCTGTCAGTTTACAGTGTATTAAGATTGTTTCTCCTTGAAGCAATGCAAACACAGGATTTGCGCGCCATCCGTGCTGAGTGCGACTCATATCTTCGACTGCGTCATGTCTTGGATTTGCTTCAACAGGTCAAACTGGGCAAGACAACCCCGAGAGCATTGGAGGTTGCAGTTGTGGCACATTTGTCAGCCTTCAAGGATGCATATCAAGATACACGGTTCTTGCCAAAGCATCACTACAGCCTCCATCTCTGCAGAATGTTGCAGCGGCATGGGACACTTGTGTCGTGTTTTTGCCACGAACGGAAACACAAAGAGATCAAGCGACATGCTCAGTTGATCTGCAACACTTGGAGCGCCTGGGAGAGATCTGTGATGGTGGATGCCGCGTGCGACATGCTTGACTCCCTGCTGGAAGACCAAGATCAATCCTTCTACGGCGGCATATGCCAGCCCCAAGAAGCTCCGATGGCGACCAAGCAATTGCTGTATCGAACTTTGGGCGCGTTCCGTGTCGCAAAGGTGGCTCGTTCTGCCTACTACGCACCAGGAGCCCGTGTCTTCAAGGATGATGTGGTGATCTGTCATGTGGAAGATCTCAATGACCCTTTGCTAGGCCAAGTCTTGTTTTTTTGCTTCTGTAGATGATGCTGAATGGGTCTGCCTTCAACCTTGGGAGCCGTTGGGAAGCAACATATTCAATTGCGAAGGTTTGGATCCAGTTCTATTCGGGCTGGAGTGCATTCGAGACACTTGCATCTTTAAGCCAATGCCTGAAAATCAGGCTGCAGTTGCCGCATGCTCTACTTGGGCGAGCTGGTAGCGCAAATTGGCTGATGACGGCGTGAGTGACAATGATAAAAAGAATCTTGCAGGCTGTTTGTGAGAACCTGCCTTCGATTATAGGCTGAAAGCTTCATGTCTTTTGGTGTCGTTGTAATGTCTCAACAAGGTTCCCCCAGAGTTGGATTTCTATTGTTGGCTTTTTATATGTCACCTCCAGAGTACAAGCGAGCCATTGCCCAGCCTGCTTTGTGATCCATTCCCAAACCTTGCGCGCCAGGAAGATCCGGAGACATCAACATCACTGCAACTGTCACGAAGGTGCAACAAACATGCTGGGCTATATAGGCTCGCATGCAGTTGCACTCCATCAGCCACCTATCATTGGTTGATTTCAATTTGTTGCCATCCTGGAGGCTCTGCATGCAGACTCCTCTTGGGCAATGCGCATTGTTGACGCTCTCTTGAAAAAACAATGCAGCTGAGTTTCATCTGTGTTCAATGTCTTTGTCTGCAACCCTAAGTATAGCTTCGAAGACTCAGCAGGTCAACATAGCTCAGTTTCTTGTTTCTTTAGGTTCGGCCGTCCCAAGTCCATGTTTAGAGGTTTCAAGTTTCCGATTTGAAGTTTGAGGTGAAAAATTATTCAAAGTTGACAGCCCAGAAGAAATCAATTCTTTTTTCTCTATATATTATCCACTTCGGCCTCCTCTATCTGCACTTATAGATCCGCCATTACCTACTATAAGAATCTTCAATGGCCTAGTTAGTAAGTCAGCCAAAACCTGGTTAGTAAGTCCGCCATGGCCTACATAGTAAGTGCGCCAGTGCCACTTAAATTACTTAATTACATAAGCAGTCTTGGTGTACTTAGTATGTGTGCCCTTAGCCATTTAATATACTTAGTAAGTATGCCATGGCATACATAGCAAGCTTCTGTATCTCACCCTATGTATACCTCATAAGTCGCCGCTAAGTAGCCTTCTATGCAAGCCATATGTGTGCCTTTATAAGTTTGCCAAGTCACTTCTGTATCTTTGCTAACAGGCAACAACTACTTAGCAACCACGCCGGTCATCCAAGTAGAAACAGCTTGTGGGGCCAATAGGGAGGCACCATGGCAAAGCCAGCAGGACGCTTCGAGAGCTGCTGCGGAGGGTTGTGCAGTGCTGAGGCCTTCGAAAGCTGCTGCGAGGGTTTTGAAGGTTTTAAGGCCTGCCCAAAACGTGCCACGCGGCAGTTTCGAAGCCCAATAGAAACAGCTTGTGGGGCCAATAGGGAGGCACCATGGCAAAGCCAGCCGGACGCTTCGAGTGCTGCTGCGGAGGGTTGTGCGGTGCTGAGGGTACCATGGTAAAGCCAACACAGGGCCATGCCGCACACCTACGGTGATCCCAGGCGCCGCCCCGCCTAGGCCAAGGCTAGGCAGGGGTCGGCGGATATACATGATCAAAGGATGTTTAGAAGTCCAAACTCAGAACTACGGAAAATATGGTAAAGAGGAAACTGTGGTCAATCGCAACAATACATAATTACAACAATACAAAAACGCGACAATACACAACAATACACAATAACAACAACAAGTTTTCACAACAATACATAATCACAACAATACAGAATCGCAACAAAACATCATCAGAACAAAACAGCAAAACAAAAAACATCACAACAATACATCATGACAACAAAACATCACCACAACAAAACATCATCACAACAATACATCATCACAACAATACATCATCACAACAATACAAATTCACAATGTCACAGTGATACATAATCGCAACAATACAGAATCACAACAAAAGAGGTATGGATGTGAAGGGAGTAGAGGTGTGGAGAGAGCATAGATGTGAGAGAGTAGGGATGTGGGAAGAGTAGAGATGTGGTCGCAGATTTGTTGTGAATCCGGAGGTGTCCGTTCTTGTTGTTTCGTAGGGTATCCGTGCAAACTCTGTTTGTGACATATCTAAACAGCTTTCTTTCGAGTTGTTGTCTCAGGTGATGTTTGGACGTTAGAACTCGAACGAAAGGGGCAAGGCGACTGACTGACTGACTGGCTGACTGGCGATGTATTTAAAGATATTTTAGGCATTTTCTTGGTCTGCGATCTGGGGCATGTTGGAGACTGACGAGGCATACATCAAAGAGCATGGAGCGCCTCTGTTCTCTTCCAACATGTTGGATGATTTACTCTGTGAAACGTGGTTTCCCTAAGTTGGATGATTTCCGGTTTTCCCCGTTGAAGAGACCTGAGATGGGAGAAACAAGGCGGCACGTGCAGTCAAAAATAATCACCACCTGTGCGGGACATGCAGACAATTCTGCATCCACGTCGCCTGGACATCTGATACTGTGCATATGTGCGGCTTTGCGTTTGAGTCACTGGTTGAAGCGTTGTGACACTAAGGCATTGTGTTTGATCTTTGGAAATTGTTTTGCTCAAAGTGGAAAAAAACATCTTGACGGGTTAGTTGCTTCCATTTGAACCTGGTAGACTGGAGTCAGATGATGCGCCTCATTCTCCCAGTGCTGCTTTTGCACGCAATTCGCGCGCAAGTCCATGAAAGCTGTGAACGTGATGATTGTTTGAAGGACCGCTTGTCCCATGTCCAGTTTGGTCTCATCCAATATCTTCACCCAAACCCAACTTAACTAAATCACAAGTTCCATCCAAGGTTCAACACCCCCAAATTGCCATCGGATATCTAACCAATTCAAACAGCAATTTCAATGAATGTTTCTATGTGAGCTAGTCCAACTCTGTACTATCCTCTACCCGACTCTATCCTTCCCTAATCTAGACAATACCCAGTCCAACCCACTCCAAACATTTCCAAACTATCTAATCTATTGAATCTACAAATAAATCCGATCAATTTCATGTACCTGCTTTATGTAATGTGCTCAGTCGATCTGCAGCACTAAATCCAGTGAGACATCAATCTATCTGATATCTTGAATGAATGAATGGACTGGCCTGGAGAAGAGTAGAACAAAGAATTTTAAAAGATTTAAACGCCTTCGGCCTCTTGCCGGCCATGTGGCTTGGGCCTTGGGCGCCTGGGGCATGAAGTTTGCGTAAAAGCTAGTTTATGTAAACGCTACTTGGTCAATAACTAGTTTGTGGAACGGCTAGCCTGTCAAAAAGGTAGCTGGTGTAAAACTTTATTTTGTCGACGGCTTGTTGGCGTAAAAATTAGTTTATGTCAGTTTGTGTAAAAACTTGTTTGTGTAAAGGGTAGTTGGTGTAAAAACCAGTTTGTGGAACGGTTACTTGGTGAAAAAACATGAAAAAACAGTTTGTGGAACGGCTAGTCTGTGAAAAAGGTAGTTTGTGTAAAATTTGGTTTTGTCGACAGCTTGTTTGTGTAAAAATTAGTTTGTGGCAAAGGTGAACTTGTGTAAAGGGTAGTTGGTGTAAAAACCAGTTTGTGGAACGGCTAGCCTGTCAAAAAGGTAGCTGGTGTAAAACTTTATTTTGTCGACGGCTTGTTGGCGAAAAATAAGTTTATGTCAGTTTGCGTAAAAGCTAGTTTGTGTAAAGGGTAGTTGGTGTAAAAACCAGTTTGTGGAACGGCTAGCCTGTCAAAAAGGTAGCTGGTGTAAAACTTTATTTTGTCGACGACTTGTTGGCGTAAAAATTAGTTTATGTCAGTTTGTGTAAAAGCTAGTTTGTGTAAAGGGTAGTTGGTGTAAAAACCCATTTGTGGAACGGCTAGCCTGTCAAAAAGGTAGCTGGTGTAAAACTTTATTTTGTCGACAGCTTGTTGGCGTAAAAATTAGTTTATGTCAGTTTGATTCAGCTTGTGTAAAAGCTAGTTTGTGTAAAGGGTAGTTGGTGTAAAAACCAGTTTGTGGAACGGCTAGCCTGTCAAAAAGGTAGCTGGTGTAAAACATTATTTTGTCGACGGCTTGTTGGCGTAAAAATTAGTTTATGTCAGTTTGCGTAAAATCTAGTTTGTGTAAAGGGTAGTTGGTGTAAAAACCAGTTTGTGGAACGGCTAGCCTGTCAAAAAGGTAGCTGGTGTAAAACTTTATTTTGTCGACGGCTTGTTGGCGTAGAAAAATGTTTATGTCAGTTTGTGTAAAAGCTAGTTTGTGTAAAGGGTAGTTGGTGTAAAAACCAGTTTGTGGAACGGCTATAGCCTGTCAAAAAGGTAGCTGGTGTAAAACTTTATTTTGTCGACGGCTTGTTGGCGTAAAAATTAGTTTATGTTAGTTTGTGTAAAAACTTGTTTGTGTAAAGGGTAGTTGGTGTAAAAACCAGTTTGTGGAACGGCTAGCCTGTCAAAAAGGTAGCTGGTGTAAAACTTTATTTTGTCGACGGCTTGTTGGCGTAAAAATTAATTAGTTTATGTCAGTTTGTGTAAAAGGTAGCTTGTGTAAAGGGTAGTCGGTGTAAAAACCAGTTTGTGCAACGGCTAGTCTGTGAAAAAGCTAGTTTGTGTAAAATTTGGTTTTGTCGTCAGCTTGTTGGCGTAAAAATTAGTTTATGTCAGTTTGTGTAAAAGCTAGTTTTAGTAAAGGGTAGTTGGTGTAAAAACCAGTTTGTGGAACGGCTAGCCTGTCAAAAAGGTAGCTGGTGTAAAACTTTATTTTGTCGACGGCTTGTTGGCATAAAATTTTGTTTATGTCAGTTTGTGTAAAAGCTAGTTTGTGTAAAGGGTAGTTGGTGTAAAAACCAGTTTGTGGAACGGCTAGCCTGTCAAAAAGGTAGCTGGTGTAAAACTTTATTTTGTCGACGGCTTGTTGGCGTAAAAATAAGTTTATGTCAGTTTGTGTAAAAACTTTTGTGTAAAGGGTAGTTGGCGTAAAAACCAGTTTGTGGAACGGCTGGCCTGTCAAAAAGGTAGCTGGTGTAATTTTTTTTTGTCAACAGCTTGTTGGCGTCAAAATTAGTTTATGTCAGTTTGTGTAAAAGCTAGTTTGTGTAAAGGGTAGTTGGTGTAAAAACCAGTTTGTGGAACGGCTAGCCTGTCAAAAAGGTAGCTGGTGTAAAACTTTATTTTGTCGACGGCTTGTTGGCGTAAAAATTAATTAGTTTATGTCAGTTTGTGTAAAAGCTAGTTTGTGTAAAGGGTAGTTGGTGTAAAAACCAGTTTGTGGAACGGCTAGCCTGTCAAAAAGGTAGCTGGTGTAAAACTTTATTTTGTCGACGGCTTGTTGGTGTAAAAGTTAATTAGTTTATGTCAGTTTGTGTAAAAGGTAGCTTGTGTAAAGGGTAGTTGGTGTAAAAACCAGTTTGTGGAACGGCTAGTCTGTGAAAAAGGTAGTTTGTGTAAAATTTGGTTTTGTCGACGGCTTGTTGGTGTTAAAATTAGTATGTGTAAAAGGTGAACTTGTGTGAAGGGTAGTTGGTGTAAAAACTAGTTTGTGGAACGGTTACTTGGTGAAAAAACATGAAAAAACAGTTTGTGGAACGGCTAGTCTGTGAAAAAGGTAGTTTGTGAAAAATTTGGTTTTGTCGACAGCTTGTTTGTGTAAAAATTGGTTTGTGGAAAAGGTAAACTTGTGTAAAGGGTAGTTGGTGTAAAAACCAGTTTGTGGAACGGCTAGTCTGTGAAAAAGGTAATTTGTGTAAAATTTGGTTTTGTCGACAGCTTGTTTGTGTAAAAATTAGTTTGTGGCAAAGGTGAACTTGTGTAAAGGGTAGTTGGTGTAAAAACCAGTTTGTGGAACGGCTAGTCTGTGAAAAAGGTAGTTTGTGTATGTTTGTGTAAAATTTGGTTTTGTCGACAGCTTGTTTGTGTAAAAGGTAGTTTGTGGAAAAGGTGAACTTGTGTAAAGGGTAGTTTGTGTAGTCTGTGAAAAAGGTAGTTTGTGAAAAATTTGGTTTTGTCGACAGCTTGTTTGTGGAACTTGTGTAAAGGGTAGTTGGTGTAAAAACCAGTTTGTGGAACGGCTCTGTGTGTAAAATTTGGTTTTGTCGACAGCTTGTTTGTGTAAAAGTTTTGTGAAAAGGTGAACTTTGGGGTTTGGTGTAAAAACCAGTTTGTGGAACAGCTAGTCTGTGAAAAAGGTAGTTTGTGAAAAATTTGGTTTTGTCGACAGCTTGTTTGTGTAAAAATTAGTTTGTGGAAAAGGTGAACTTGTGTAAAGGGTAGTTGGTGTAAAAACCAGTTTGTGGAACGGCTAGTTTGTGAAAAAGGTAGTTTGTGAAAAATCTGGTTTTGTCGACAGCTTGTTTGTGTAAAAATTAGTTTGTGGAAAAGGTGAACTTGGGTAAAGGGTAGTTGGTGTAAAAACCAGTTTGTGGAACGGCTAGTCTGTGAAAAAGGTAGTTTGTGTAAAATTTGGTTTTGTCGACAGCTTGTTTGTGTAAAAATTAGTTTGTGGCAAAGGTGAACTTGTGTAAAGGGTAGTTGGTGTAAAAACCAGTTTGTGGAACGGCTAGTCTGTGAAAAAGGTAGTTTGTGTAAAATTTGGTTTTGTCGACAGCTTGTTTGTGTAAAAATTAGTTTGTGGCAAAGGTGAACTTGTGTAAAGGGTAGTTGGTGTAAAAACCAGTTTGTGGAACAGCTAGTCTGTGAAAAAGGTAGTTTGTGTAAAATTTGGTTTTGTCGACAGCTTGTTTGTGTAAAAGGTAGTTTGTGGAAAAGGTGAACTTGTGTAAAGGGTAGTTGGTGTAAAAACCAGTTTGTGGAACGGCTAGTCTGTGAAAAAGGTACTTTGTGTAAAATTTGGTTTTGTCGACAGCTTGTTTGTGTAAAAATTAGTTTGTGGAAAAGGTGAACTTGTGAAAGGGTAGTTGGTGTAAAAACCAGTTTGTGGAACGGCTAGTCTGTGAAAAAGGTAGTTTGTGAAAAATCTGGTTTTGTCGACAGCTTGTTTGTGTAAAAATTAGTTTGTGGAAAAGGTGAACTTGGGTAAAGGGTAGTTGGTGTAAAAACCAGTTTGTGGAACGGCTAGTCTGTGAAAAAGGTAGTTTGTGTAAAATTTGGTTTTGTCGACAGCTTGTTTGTGTAAAAGGTAGTTTGTGGCAAAGGTGAACTTGTGTAAATGGTAGTTGGTGTAAAGGTAGTTTGCGTAAAACAAAATTGCGCAAATGCTTGTTGGTGTGACACCCTGATCGCGCGAAAGGAACATGGTGTAAAATTGTTTGGCCCACAAACTGTGTGTCGTGCGCTTTTGCTCACTTTTGCCAAAAAATCATTGAGAACATGTGGAAAGCGCAGCGTCCTAGGGGCTGGCCGGAGCAACTAAATGCAAGAATTCCGTGGGGGAAGACTGAGGGGTAGTTGTTATGGTGGTGGTGGTGCTGTTGCTGCTGCTGCCGCCGTTGTGGTTCCTGCATTTCAGGTAACCTAACAAACTTCGTGGGTTTAACAAGCTTATGTAGCAATAGTTGTATCGTCAAATATTGTCTTTAGTCATTTCGGACATTTTATGTAACATCGTTACCGAGTTTGTGTTCATACTATCTGTTAAGAGTTTTGTCCCATATTATTCCTAACAGTCCATCTCTCTGGGTGGGATTGGGTAGGTCAGCCAAAAGCAACAATCCGTCCAGGAGGGGATCTAAAAGCAAAGATCGAACTATAGCATGCTATACTACAGCTACAGCTCAAATGCAA